ACGTTCACGAACTTGTGACACGAGTACCGGTAGCCAGCAGTCTCACGGACAAGATGTAACGGCAATATCGTGTCGTGACTGGTCGTGACGTCCTGGCGAAAACTGTGTCGAGAATTACGACTTGAGATTGAGATGTCTCCTCACAATTCGCATCCCTTGCCAGAGGTCTGTTTTCTGTGGATGAACTAGTGTACACACTCTTGGAACTTAAAGTGAGAAAGGTATATATATTTGATATTTTTGTTGAAAGAGAGTTCTAAGGCAGGAACAGAAAACAGACCACATGTTTCTTCAAAACAAATAACAAATTGCTGGGAAAGGTGAATGAAATTAAAATTCAGGGTCTTTATATAATAGATACACAAGTATCTGCTGAAACTTTGGAGAAAATTCTTTGGAATTTTTCAGTCAAAGTTACAGCATGTTTTTAAATATTACAGAAACTTAAATTTTTCTTAAATTCTTCTTTCCCGATTGTGAAAATAAAAATAAAAATAAAAATAAAACTTTCTCGCCAAACAAGATGAAAGTCTTTGAAGAAATAATTCTTCAAATTGTGATAAAATTCTTGGAGAAGATTCAAGATTTCAAGATTTTCTCAAATAATGACTGTAAACTTTGCTAGCTTTCTCCAGTGTGCACATACGAGAGTACATTAATCATACATTTTTCAATAGGAGATGGAGAGAGATGTAGCTAAAATTATTATATGTACGCAGCCTGAATGATGCGTCTTTCGAAAATAGTGCTTTACAGCAGAACGCATAATTGACCCAATTGAACCGGTACGTAGTTGTTTATGGAAAGATATGACCAAATATCTTGGCTTCTCGCCAAGGTTAGCACTAATTCCTACATTCTGTGAAGATTGGAAATCATGGACACAACTAGTATCGCTCGTCGCTTTCGTCGTTCCACGTTTTTATGTTTGAATCAACGATTTTCGAATGAGAGAAAAATGGCTCGAAAATATTATATCTTGAACGTAGCAAAAAGACGTAACGCAAGTTAAATATAAAAATCAATAAGATCTTAGATAATAATATTGATTTGAAAGACGGGTATATTTATAAGCTCTATAATATGTTTAATTAATGTCAATTATATACAATTTTTACCCTGTTAAAAGTTAATCTGCAGCGTGTCTCATCACATTTAAACGCGATCGCAACGAGCCGTTTGAGAAAAATCATTGTATATGTATGATCCGATTATACAAAAATCCTGTTCACCGACTTCACGGTTAACCGCTGGTATATTCGCATCTTATTAAGAGCAAAGGTTATAACGTGAAAAGACAGAAATAAAAATGTAGAATACGATGTTAGAATTATATATCAAGCGCATCGTGCTCGAAGAGTAGTTTATATACTGTACCATGTAGAAAGTATCGAATGCGCGTGGCACACTATCGAGAAGCATTTTTGCCCTCAGAGTCGATCACTGAAACCGGAACGACGCGACGCGACGCGACGCGACGCCGACGCACGGCAGAGTGGCGCGGGCGCGGCGGTGTCGGTGAAACGGCCGGAAACTGGAGGCAGAGCTCGACGTAGTCGTGCTTCGTTAAAGCTTGAAATCGCATTAGCATCGACGTTTTCACGCAAGGGAATCAAAGCGAGAACCGATGAGATATCCAAGTTGCACGAGCCTCCAAATGAACTGTAGGAATTAGTAAACTGAATTGTTAAAGAGAGAGTATCTGAAAGCCTAATCCCGATCGAATAAGATACTCATGATATATCTTATACATCGGGGAGATCTATCTGCTGTAATAATTATTTATAGCCACGTCAGGTTTAAAATAAAGCGTGCGATACTTTTTCCTAGTCGACGAGATTCGTGTCACGAGCTAACGAGCGGCGATCATTGTGTCATGTTGCTGCTTGGGAAATTTGTCGTCGTTGACGTTGTTCCCCGTAGTTTCTGGTATACGTTGCAAGTTACAAATCGCAAGTTACAGGTCGTATCTAGATGGGCAATTGCGTTTTTTTTAGGTCAAAGTTGTGTAGACAATATCTTCGTCAATAATGAATGAAATTTAAATGTAAAAAAAGGGTTTTAAAACTTGAAATCTCTACTTTTAAAAACTTACCACGTTTTTTAAGTTTATATTGTACAATATAAGTTTGGTAATTTTTACATATATGTATATATATATATATTATGTGTGTATATATATAAAACTATCAGAAACTACGAGCTGAAAAAGACGGAAAATTTTCTTCTCACTTTGTGAATTTGTAACGTGCCCAAAACAAATTTGAGAAAATTTTCGACTACCTATCGTGAAAGCTTGATATTTTCCTTACAAAATCGTTTTTTAAAATTATTCCTACGATTTTTGGTTACTGAGTTAATTTAAAAAAAAGATTCTTAAAACTGAAACTTTACTCTATCAAGATATATTTATATTGATTAGTAAGAAAATAATTGCGGTTTTTACTGATAGATACCTTTTAAAAAAACGCAATTACTTTCTTGCTAACTCAATAGAAGCGTTTTTTGTTGTTGGCAACAATTCCGTCGTTCATTGTCCATCATTCTCTCGTCCGTTCATTGACGTTTCAAGCGCAATTGAACGTAACGGCACGATCGCGTCAAAAGTATCGACTTTCCCGACGAAAGATTAAATCAAATTTCACGCACGCCTGTAATTCCTAGTTTCCAAACTCTCGTCTGACGAAGATCGCCTGAAATGAGAATTTGAGAAAGTAATTTTTCTTTCAAATTTGTCACGAAACGAAACGAATGCGAAGCTCTGGCTGAGAGAGAGACTTACTTCATACTTGGAGCATTCGACCTTGGTGCGTCATCGCGTCGCTGCCGCTCACGCACTGTCTCTTCCATTGGGACACCCGGTAGATAGGTGTATATATACGATATCCCCGTAACCGATCTGTACCATCGACGCTCGATACCTGTCCCGGCTATATGACGACGCCTCGTAATCCGCGCTTCCTTTAGTTATATGTTACTACCACTTGCGTATCACGCAATAGCGTGGCGTGGCTTGGCTTGGCTTGGCTTGGCTTGGCTTGGTTTGGCTTGAATTGGCTTGGCTTGGCTTGGCTTGATTTGGCTTGAATTGGCTTGGCTTGGCTTGGTTTGGCGTAGAAAGCAATGCGATCAACTCTTCGAGTTGATCGTATCCTCTCTATGCATATTATTCACATAAACGAGTGTTATGTACTTGTGAACTATTCATGTGTCGCAGTTGAACATTGTTAGAGAAAGGTGCACGCGGTGAAATTTCAAGCCTCGCCGTCTCCGAACAGATCGATGCACGTCCTGCATGTAAGCCTGCACCCGGCACCCCGACGACATATGCAGCCAGCACCGCTGCCGGCTTGCCTCGTCACTCACAATAGTTTTTTCGCACCCCACGTTTCATCGCTTTCCCCTCATGATACTTAAATGCACTCGTCCGGAATCGCAATTCTATTCGGAGGTGAGGATTTCGCAGTGAGACGAGACGAGACGAGGCGAAGCGAGGGGAGGGTCGAAAGAAAACGGTCGTCGATACGAAATGAGTGTGCTCGGTGTCCAAGATGGAACTGTCATTTGTCGAGAGTCGCTTTAGGACATACAACATACGATAAAACATATCGTTCAAGCTTACGTTCGGTTTTACTTAATTTTCTGACAAGATACCTAACAGCATCTTAATAAGTATCTTAACAGTATCGGGCGCGCGTTAATGAGATCACGAATTATTAAATTTATTACTGCGCCTAATAGTAGTAAAATTTTCGGTCTACTTACTATACGTAATTTGGCATGGAAACAAAAACACCTGAACACTCTTTGATATACAATTGTCAGACAATTAGACCTCGTATACCGACGCAATCGAGAATCGTCGGGCGTTCGATCGGGCTGTGATCGCTCCGATGTCACCGATGCCTCCGATTCCGCGGAACCGCGGAACCACCGTGCCGGCGACGGGACGGGACGGGACGAGCGATCACTGGCGATATCGGCAAGTAGCACACTTACCTGCGAAAGCAGCCTTCGCCGTGTACGACGCACCAGCGTGAGGAAGCGCGGAACGCGCGGCGAACAATGACACGGGCGATCGACGTGAGGGGGCGGGAGGAAACAGGGCTTGGTTCACCGATCCTCCTTCCTCGAACGGCGAACCTCGAACGGCGAACCACGAAGCGGTAAGCGGAGTCGAAGCGTCAAGCGAGAGACAGGCGACACCAGACCAGCTGCGCTGTAGCGTAGCCTGCGTAGCGTAACCGCGTAACGCACGTAACACGTACAAACAATTGTATCTCTCTCTCTCTCTCTCTCGCAGTTAATTCGACTGTCGACAGGTCCGTTCGGCGGGTGGTCCTCTCACGAGACGACGCCGTACAGGACGGGAACCACGGCCCTTGTTATCCGCGCCATTTTCAAATAGTCCTTGGAGAGAGAGAGAGCCGAGAACGGCGGCGATGTTGAGAAATTGCGTATCGCGAATCGCGATGCGGACGCCGCCCCGGTCACGCCGCGACAAATTCCTCGTCTCCCACTTTTCGTTTCTCCTCGCTTTCCGTCTTCCTCCTAGATATTATTTCACCGCACGAATGCCGCGAATAATCGCGAGACGACAGACGGATCAGCCGGTAGTCGGAATACCACTACGGCCACTGTCGGCACTGCCCTCGACTCACTCGACTCGACGTTTTCTATCTAATTTCTACGCGCACCCGCCGTCATGGCCGACTGCGACTAGGAAAAACGGAGTTTCTCTCGTGACGCAATCGAATAAGCACGCCCCGTTTCATCTGCATTTTCTCCGTCAGGCGGCGCCACGGCCACGCAGTCGATAATCGACCATCGACAATCGGTAATGTTGATCGCGAATTATGTTTTATCCAAGGAATACAAAGTCAACCGTGGTTATATCGAGGGTCGGTAAATGATCGAGGAAACACACGTGTATGTATGATTTTTTTACGCATAAAATTATACACTCGAATATTTGATTTGTTGCCAATTTAATTTTCACAAACGTTGATGTGATTGCAATCAACGATGATAATGATTAAAAAAGATTTCGCATCAGTAGCTAGACTACTCGTATGACCGCAGTAAATAAAGATACGATCACATTGCATAATTATTACCTAAATGCCTGGTTGAGAGTTGAGCCAGTGTAAAAAATATTGCGACCAATGCATAACGCAAGATCGGCAAGATGAAGAGAAGAGGCGAGACGAGAGGTCCAAGACAGTCCAAGAGAATGGAGCAGGAGGGGTAGATGGGTCGTTTACGTCGTAAGTCGTAAGTCGTTTATGATTCGACGTGGCGAAATGCGAAAATCTTGATCTCGCTTGGACCTCACTCGAAAGTTCCTCATCGTGCGAATTGGATTCACTCGGAAGAAACAGGATGAAATAACGGTCATTGTAGATGCAGAGAATCGCGAATGAACAATTATCGGATCAACGGATCCTGACGATCCTCGATTGAGTGTCAAGTTTCTGGAATTCACGTTCGCGATTGCACTCGCCAACACCCGATTATGTGTCATATTTTGTGATAACAATATTACGTCAACTGTATCGCGATAAGGTCAGTTTATCCTCGATTATCATGTGAGGTTAGACAGTTTTCTCGGATTCTACGAAACACAATCTTTTCTAACAACTTCTGCACGATTAATCTGTAGATATGTATATACCCATTGATTTCCTTTTAGTTCTGTAACTTCACCATCAAAAAATTAATAATTGACTTTATTTTGCATATTAGGACAAAACTTAATTATTAATGTATTGATCATAGTTTACATCAAGTATAACTGATGACTAAGCTTTACTTATTTTACACTGTCTAAACCATCTAAGGTCTGATTGCATCAATTTTTGATGATTGACTTCAAATCTCTCTCTCTCTCTCTCTCTCTCTCTCTCTCTCTCTCTCTCGCTCGCTTTATTTTTAAAGCCCAGAGAACAATAGATAGGAAGAGAGTCTTAAGTCTCGCTTAAAGTTTAAGTAACTTTGGTGCAATCGGATCTAAGCAGCTAAAATGAAATTTGAAAACTGTAATTGTATAAAGATATAATTTTGGTTTTATGGGCTTAATACAAGGCATTCTTGTAAAAAGATTTTTCTAAAAAGGTTTAATATATAAGACATGATGTATTTTTACATCATGATATAAGAGATAATATGCATGTATAATATACATCAACTAATAAAACACCATTAGACATTAAATAATGGCAAGCGAATCTTGGAATGTCTTGGTAACGGGAGGCGCTGGTTATATTGGTTCTCATACAGTATTGGAATTGGTACAGGCGGACCTTCGGGTGGTGGTAATAGACAACCTTATCAATGCATACAAAGGTGAGACGTAACAAGCTACATGACAAAAAATGATATACCAATTGTATATGTATTTTAAATTAAATGATATATGAATAACATAGTAAATTAATTACTACCTATTTTCTACTTAAATCTAACATATGCATTTTCTAGTGATAATAGCACATAAATGCATGCAAATTAATAATTAATTAGATTAAATAATTATTCTGATGAATTATCTCACTCTTCTGTCATGTATTGTGTAACTTATATAGGTATAATACAATTTTTAATTTTTCTGTTTTTCTTATGTTTACAGACTCAAATTCTGAGAAACCAGAATCTCTCCTCAGAGTAGAAAAATTGACAAATAAAAGTATTGTATATATTGATTGTGACATCATAAACATTAATGATCTAAGAAGTGTATTTCAGAAAGTAAATATACTTATTTGTTCAAATTTTACTGATAGTACATTGGATTCGAATATTCAGATTTTTATCTTTACAGCATACTTTTCATTGCGTTATACATTTTGCTGCATTGAAAGCAGTTGGTGAGTCATGTCAGAAACCACTCGAGTACTATAAAACTAATGTCAGCGGCACGATAAATTTGCTAGAAGTTATGCGGGAAAACAATGTAAAACATTTTATTTATTCAAGTAGTGCCACAGTTTATGGTATACCTGAGCAACTTCCTTTAGTAGAAGATATGAAAACTGGTAACTGTACAAATCCATATGGAAAGACAAAGTTTATGGTAGAAGAAATATTAAAGGATTTGTGTACATCAGATAAGGTACATATTATAATATATTATCTTGTGATTCACTTTAATAAAAGATTACTTTTTAGGAATTTTCCGTTATATCTTTGAGATATTTTAATCCTGTCGGCGCACATCCTTCAGGTGAAATTGGAGAAGATCCCAACGGTATTCCAAATAATTTAATGCCCTATATTGCACAAGTTTCTGTTGGAAAAAGGGACATGTTATACATTTATGGCAATGATTATGATACCCCTGATGGTACAGGTAAGAATTTTATATTCCCTTTTTTTTTGTTGAAAGTATAACTAGATAAAATTCTTTTAATAGAAGAAAGAAAAACTCTTGTAAAGAGTGTATATTGTAGGTGTACATACTGTAGGAAGAAAGAGAACTTTATGATATTGTAATTAAAATTTTTTTTCTAAATTAAATTTGCAGGTGTACGTGACTATATTCATATTATGGATCTGGCAGTTGGACATATGAAAGCTGTAAAGTATCAAAAAACTCGTAATCCAACGGGATTCAAGCCGATAAATCTTGGTAGTGGAAAGGGCTATTCTGTGCTTCAAGTTATACATGCGTTTGAAAAAGCATCCGCACTGAAAATACCATATAAGATAGTTGAACGTAGACTAGGTGATGTCTCCACTAGTTACGCGGATGCTAGTATTGCTAATAAGGAACTAGACTGGACTGCTACAAAAAATTTGGATGACATGTGTAAGTTGTTATAATAAATGAATAACAATGGTAATATTTATCCATATTTGTTGTATTTAACTGTTTTAAAATTAGAAACTTATTACATTCCAGGCGCAGATACGTGGAAATGGCAACAAAATAATCCCAACGGTTATAAACTTTAATAAATATTATGCCTAAATAATTAAGAGAAGTATCTGGAACTTCTAGCTTGCTATTACATTTTGCCTTCCGCATATCATTGGCTAAATAATGAAGCCATGGTGGTATACAGTTACCAAAGTTTAGACCAAAGCATTAAAAAAGTAATTTTTTATCTTCTGTTAATTAAGCAAATTTTATGTAATGAGAATTTATATATCTAACAAAATATAATATTGGAAGAGTTCTATTCAGTTTGTGTTTATGTAAATCTATTAAATATATTTTAAGACATAATTTTTTTGCATATGTTAAAACTAAATTAAGTTTTATTATTACACAATATGGTGCCATTTTAAATAGTCGCACAATATAGTATACATTAATATGTATATAATCTACTATTTTATGTAAAGAATATAATATACTTTTATATATACACTACTGACACTAAAACAATGTAAATATATAATTGTAGTATATGAATACAAATATATGCAATTTATTACCGAAAAAATTTTCTTTTTTTGACATTTTTACTTTTGTACTCTCGATACTTACATAATTTTTTTTTTATTGTCATTGATGTATAAATTGTCAATAAAATTAGATGAAGGTGCTACACACACTTGAGTGCGAGAAAAAGGAAAATTGTTATTATTCAAATCATTATTTCGAATTTGAAAATTGATGTAATTGATGAAATCGATAAGATATCGAGGGATCGATAATTATGATTAATGATAAAGATAGTAGATCGCGCGATTTTATCTGTCAAATTTATAGTCCAACGTCACATGTTACATTCTGAAAAAATTAGAAAGCCGAGTAAAGTGGTGAAATTTAAAGAGCAGGTTAGGATCGCTCATTTGTCATCAGCTGATCGGATACTCGGCACCTGCTTGTATCGACATGTTCGTTCAGACTCCGATCGTATTCAGTCGAGTCGTTCTGTGATATATATCTCGTGATAGCCTTAACAATTGATCGTGCCCGATTATGGACCCATCGAAGGACGAAGTACAGACGGAGGGAGGTCTAATTGAAAATCTATCCACGGAGCAGAACTCGAGATGCGAGTCACCGAAACGCGGCACCACGCTCTCCACCAGTACCAGCAGTTTCGAGGCATTGGACCCGCACGATCCAAACCTGAGTCGTTTGGCAAACACAATGTTCCAGAAGACGGGCGAATATCTGCAGGAAGAGCTCATCGCTACCCACGCAGACTATCGGCTGCTGGAGCGTCTAAACAAGGAGACTATCGCAAAGTATACGGAACTGAAGATCATTTCGTCGAACGTAGTGCAATCGTTGGACTCGCTGAATGACAAGTATAAAAAGCTACAACCAATCCTGGATAATATTAATCAGATTGATGACAGCGTCAGTAAATTGGAACAAGCTGCATATAAGCTAGCGGCGTATTCCAAGCGACTCGAAGCCAAGTTTAAGGATCTTGAAAAGGATACGAAAAATAAATGAAATTGTAATTATGAATATGTAAATCATTGTATGTACCTTTATGTAATTATCCTATAAATAATTATATATCTTAAGCAACAGTTATTGCGAATATATAAATGATTGTATAAAAAATAAGTAAGAGAGCTAGCAGAAAAGCATGTCTTTTGTACATTGTATTTATTAGTATAACGAAACCTCTTGAACACGCTTACAAAACTTCTATAAAAGTGTAGTTTGCTATCCCTTTGCATATCATACAAAATCTCTGACTTTTATAATTAACTTATTAATTAAAAATGATACATCTTATTTAATGTTCTATAAAGCCTAATCTTTCTTCTGCAATATACATATTAATAAATTTCACAATGTACCTGCGTAATGACGATACAAGTGTAAATACAATCACTATGTATAAATCAAAAACAAATAATTATAGCTATATTTAACAAAAGAAATATTTGTATATATTTGCTATAATATTAAATACAATTAAAGAAAAGTATTTCTCACCTGATATATAGCAGATAGAATTAATGTTTCAATATATAAAAGTTGAATTTATTTCTAATCTTGTTAACAATAATTTACTGAAATATATAGTTCAAGTATATAACAGATGATTGTATATAAGAAGATTGTAAGTGATAATCCTTTATCGGTAATTATTTTAAGTGTTATACAATTGTCTTTATGACTATATGGATTATGAAGCATAACACAATATGTGTGGAATATTTAGGTTACATAACTATAAAACTTCGACATTGCATTGTCTCGTCGCACTAAAATGTTCATGTCACGAGTATGAGAGTCCAAAGCGATTATTATACTCCAATACGGTCTTCCAAATATCACAATATATCGTAAACGGCCATAATAAAGAAAGCTGCATTGTTTCTATAATTTAATTGCCGATAAAAGCTGAAACACTTCTATATAGATGATATTTAGCAGTCTAAGAAATTGCCGGCCATCAACAGTTCCAGAGCAATCTCGGGTGCGATAGGAAATTCTGGTATTTCTGTACTGCTGTTTGTATAGCGTACTTTGTAAGTAAAATACATGCAGACCTTTTGTAATACGTGAGACCTATAAAAAAAAGACATTTATTCAAACAATAATAATAATAGTTTGTATTATCTTTTATACTTACGGAATTTCTCGGAAGTTGACTTCATTCGCTTCATTCTCTGCAAATTGACCAGGACCACTCAACATTGCTTTGATAGTACCACTCGTTAATGCATGTTCCCGTTTAACAATAAACTCATGGCCATCGCTACTGACCAGCTTCACGTACATTGCGTTTGGTCCTTCGCAGCCCCCATAAATGGGACTACCGTTTTGCTAAAAAAAAAATTTCCAAAACATCTATCACGTTATTTGTCACATAAAATAGACTTGATAATATTTTACATACATAAATCTAAAATATTGTACAATTAGAAGAAATAATGAAGTAGTGAAATAGTGGGATAAATAAAAAGAACCACCTCTAGAAAGCAAAATTTAATTTGGAAAAATAGGTACCGCATGCATGTCTTTAGATGATCTGCCATCTTCTTCTTCAGTCTTAGTGACACTTGCTTCTTCATTGTGCTTAATCCAAAGAAAGATTAATGTTAATCAATATTTTACCATAAGCTTTCAGCTTTCCAGAAAGGGAACGAGTAATTTTAACATATAACAGCAACACAACATGTACACAATACATGATTATCGTTACAGATATATTGTTATACATTCTGATTACCATGCAAAGATATACCATGCAAATGAAATTGTTTCTATACATACCTTCTCAGCCTGCATATTTACATCAGTGGACATGTTTGCTGTTGTTGTATAAATATCCTCCTAAAGCAAAATGGTCCAAATATATTATATATATATATGTATGTATGTGTGTGTGTGTGTGTGTGTGTGTGT